GCAATTAAAAACTTTGGCAACGACTTAGTTCGATGAGGTCCGTAAACCTGCGACAAGGTTCCCTACGTGCTGCTAATGATATGTGATCAAATCAAGCACCGTTTAATGCCATTTGCAACAGGTGCTTATGTAAATATATGATCCATTTCTCTCATTCATGAACAAACCATTTACCGCTTTGCAATTTCAGGCGTGCAACTGTTAATTCAATGCTGAGTTTAACTTGTGTTAAAGACAGGACCGATCGGCTGGTGGATCATGGTCAATTGCAGCCATTTCAGACGTATCGAACAACGTGACTAAATCTTTTTCGCTCATTCGTGGTCACAATAACGTACTGCCATCGGCCGGTTTTTTCGTACCTGCTGGTCAGTGTGAGAACTCATTGCAAAATGACTTTGCAAAGTAAAATTTATGCTCTGCTTGAGTGTGAACCTGTTTCTTCAGTGAGTAAGGTCGACAGCAAACAACTTTCGCCGCTGATTCTGATTCGACCTACAAATCAGAGTTACTCCTTCGACAGAGCGTCAGTCTCAGAAAGGAGACGTCCAGGATTCAAGCCATGGTCGGGGACACTCGTCTTTGTTCCTTTTGAAATTATTGAATAAGCACTACTCTGTGAAAAGGAAACAGGAAAGCACGCACTAGGCTGGCCAGATAAATAGCTTGTGTGCACTTTGCATTTAAAAATGAGGCAATCCAGGCCGATGACATGGAAATGTCGATCAGCGCCCCATCACTGACTTCGTGTATAGAACGGCGCCAGAACAGTCCAGTCATAAAAGTGTAGGGAAGGCCGAGACATTCTTGCAGTTACCCGATTTCGTTCCTTTCTTTTGCTGCTTTGATTTGCTGTCATAATCATCTTACGCCGTTCTTTGTTTTCAATCCATGCCGACAATATTTTAAGTCTGAACATTTTGAACACGACAGTTGCTTTATGCGTGTCAGACTTTTCTTTCTTTGGTTCCGAAATTTCGGCCTGAGGCAGAAAACCGTCATCAAGGAACATGTGACTAGCGAGCGAACAGTGTTGCTATTAATGTTATCCCAAACATGACTTATGCGCCGGAAGCCAAAACTTAATAAAAGAGAATTTTGTCACGTCTAAATGTCTTTGTTTTGTTCAAAAGGTGGAAACTTACCGTGCATTTTTGTCATTCCCTCTCACATTCCACAAATCCATTCTTTCATGATATATGTTTCCTGCAGATTGATAAATCCGTAGGACACCTAGACCGCTGATTGCTTGAGAGCACGACAGTAATATTAAAAATCGTCCGACGCTGTTTAAAACGTCGATGCATTGTGGGTACCGCGGTGTGTTATCGTTCTTCGATGCAGGACTTAGAATAGTTTAACTGTACTGCAGAAACAATGGCACGAACATATATCCATGTTGCAGATAGACAGCTTTGCAATGCTAAGCGGCAAGAGAAATGAAAAAAATCACTAAGTACTTCTAACCATGTGTTGCAAATCTACTTTGGAACGGGAACATGAAGCACTAGAGTTCGACCTGCGGGATTC